GTGCAATTTTCAGAGTTTCTTCTGACATCCATTTTGGTCTTCGCTTCCTCTTCTGTCTTTGCAATGACCGTTTGCACTCTTCCTGGATGATACCCTTGATATTCTCCCACAACTCATCTGGCCTTCTCTTATTAGTGTTCAAAGCCTCAAACCTGTTCCTGAGATGGAGAAAAGATGGTAATTGTCAACAATTTCATCCTACTTGGATCCACAATCAACATTCTTGGTACAAGCAGTCAAAAGATGTATTCCAATAGGAAAGTCTGTAGTCAGGAACCTCTTCTGAGGAAAGCAATGATGTCAGGTTGAAGGCTAAGGTGTGCCTGATTCAGGCCAAGTTATTTTCAATCACTTGCTATGCATCTGAGAGCTGGACAATGCATATGGATAGAATAGAATTTTAATGCTGTTGTTGTTGTTATGTGCCGCCAAGTCGCTGCGACTCATAGCGACCCTATGTACAACAGCCCTAAACTCTCCTCTATCCTGTGCCAATCGCATTGCCTCTGACACACCCATCCTAATTAACCTAGTCACTGAATCAATCCACCTCACAGAGGGTCTTCGCCTCCTGCACTGTCCCTCCACCAAGCATGATGTCTCTCTCCAAGGACTTGTCTCTCCTTACATATCCAAAGTATGTCAGATGAAGCCCCAGAATCCTTGCCTCTAAGGGGTAGCCTGGTTTAACTCTCTCCAGCATGAATCTGTTTGTTTTCTTGGCAGTCCATGGTACATTCAATACTCTTCTCCAGCACCACAGCTCAAAGGCATCAATTCTCCTTCTATTCTGCCTAGTCGTTGTCCAACTCTATGATGCATAACAAGTGATTGCAGATACCATGGCCTGTACAGAAAAAAAAAAAGATGCCTCTGATTTGTGATATTGGAGAAGAATATGGAATATATCATGGATTGTCAAAAGAACAAACAAATATGTGTTGGAGAAGGTGTAGCCAGGTTACTTCTTGAAGGTAAGTATGATAAAGCTTCATTTCACATGCTTTGGGCATATTGCTAGAAGAGGCTATTCCTTAGAGATGGATATTATGTTTGGAAAGGTGAAAGAGAGAAAGACCTACAACCAGGATTGACATGGTACCTGCAGCAATAGATGAAAAATGTAGAAATTTTGAGGATAGCACAGGGTTCAGATCTGTTGTTTGTGGCTTGATATGAGTCGTAATTGGTTCCATAGCTGTTAACAACCACCACCACATAGCACAGGCTTTGTTGTTGTTGTTATGTGTTGTCGAGTTGTTTCCGACTCATAGCGACCCTATGCACAACAGCCCTAAACCCTGCTCTATCCTGCGCCAACCGCACAGCCTCTGACACACCCATCCCGATTACCCCAGTCACCGAATCAATCCATCTCATAGGCACAGCATTTATAACACATGTTTTTTGGAGGATACAAGTCAATTTATAACACCTCCACAAATAATTATTTTTGAAAAGGTAATTCATACTGAATACAGAAAATTTAAAACCCAAGGATAAGGGGGAAAAGAATCACTCAAAATGTCATTACTTCTGGAGGTTTCAGCAGCTGATTCAGCGTACTCTTTGTCCCTGAGCTAACTCCAACTCACTGAGCCCATAAAACACTAGAATCACCCCAGAGGGTTTACAAGACTGTTAACTTTATGAAAGTTGACTGCCATAGCTTTTTCCTTCCGAATGACCCTTGAGTTCAAACTGCTAGACTTTTGGTTTGGGCCAGCTTTTAATCATCATGCTCCTTTGAAGCCGTGTCAATCGCCATTGAGTCAATTCCAACTCACGGCTACCCTCCACTGGGTTTCCACAGTTAATAAATGTTACTGGAGGATAGTGCTCATCTTTCTTTCCCAGACGGTTGGAAGATTCAAACTGGCTACCTTTTGATTAGCAGCCCTAAACATTACACTAGTAAGATGTCTCTGAAACAGTATAGGAAGAAATTATCCTGCTAAAGAAATGAATTGGAACACAACTGTAAGGGATGAACATTTCTGAGTAAAGAGAAAAAGAAACTTTTTTTTAATCCCAATTTAAAATTCTCATTTTTAATACTTCAATACATTAAGTGAATGTCCCTTGCGAAAAAGAATTTCTCATGACATTTAAAAATATGATTTGTTGTGTACGTTCTTTAAGAGTAAAAAGGTATGATAGTCTCAAAAGCAATGTCACTGAACTAAATGGTCCAGATTATCTATAAATTTAATTATGTTGTGTAGTCTGTTTCTAAAGGAAATGTCAGAGAGACTATTGAGAAAAATATGGTTTTTAACAGAAAAAATACCTAAAATAACTTAAATTACCCAGATGGCAAAGTATGCTAGTATTGCATAATTGTCCCCTTTGTACTTTGGTAAGTCTAAGGAATACAAAGTACATTAGAGTAGCAATCAGGATATCTGGCTTCTAGTTTTTGCTGTACTATTTACTAAAGACCTGACTGTAGACAAGTCTGTGAACTTCCTAGGCTCCACTTTCTTGCGTTGTAAAATAAGAGGATTGACGTTTGCCTCACAGAACACTAAAAGTCAAAATAATGTATGAGACAGGGAATTTGGTTAGGCTTGCCTTTATCTTTTATTATAATAAAGACTGACTTCATAAAGCAGAAACTTGCAGTAACCATGACAAGAGAGCTTGCAATCTTTATTTGCAAGTAGAATAAATACAATGTGTTTCCTGTCCTCTCCAGTATTCATGGGAAGGGGTGGAGGAGAGCATAGGGACAGGATATCCTTCCCTTACATGTCACTCACCAACTTTACATTTTCTCATTGCTTTAGACTCTCTTATCCCAGACTGCCATATTCTGTCACACAAAAGAATTATAAACCATCTGTTAGGGAGACAAAATTGCGCTCAGTTTAGTTTTTTTCATTTGTTAAAATGCTTCCCTCCTGATCTTTGCGTGAATTTGTAGCCTCTTAAATATCAATACGTCGAAGAAGAAAAATTAAAGACAAACTTTTAAGCAGAAACGAGATTGAGAGGTCTTTGGTAGACTAACACTGTTGCCAGTTTGAAAGGTGGAAATAACTAAGAACAAGCACAAGTGAAAAAGGAGAGGTGCCTAGGTACTTACGAAAGCTCTCGGCAAACAACAAAAAAGGACTTTTGTTCTTTCAGGTAGTGTAACTTCGATCTATTTAGAATTAGTTACATTTTGGTTAATCTCTATATCCCCAGTGTAGGATGCACACAATAATCTCTAGTATTGTATTGAGTTAAAAACTGCGTAGGAATAAAGCAGGAAAAGGGAGTATCAAAGAGGTTAGGATATTAGAAACTTTTACAGGGCTTCATAGAAGCAATTCTTCAGATGTTAACCAAAAAGGATTAGTATAGAGACGCAGATAGCTGTTTCTTTGAGTATAGAAGCTCTACTTATAAGTGGAAAAAGATCGGGAAGCTGGATTGGATCCCCGAGAGAGAAAAAGAAAGGCAAAGAGTAGGTATATGTAGACAGGCAAGGTTGAGGAGTCAGAGAAACATCCAAATCAGAGCCAAAAGAATTGGACTAGTTAGCTGGGTGGAGAACATTAGTCCAGGCACGGGACCGGTGTAGCTCGCTTTGAGGTTGTTTCTTAACAGAACTACCAGGAAGCTCTAGGAGATAGGCAGCTCGGGCTGGTATTTTTGGCAAGGTAACTTCCGTGTGTGTTTGTGTATGTGCAAGAGCGAGCGCCACCCTAGCACTTCCGCGTGCGAGCGAGGTTGGCAATCGGCCTGCCTGTAGCCGGACCGACCCAGAAGGAAACCGGCCCTCACTCAGGCAGACGGGAGGGCTGGCCGGGGGCGGGGCCGCCGCCACACCCCGGCTGAGCCGCAGCGCGACAGGCCGCTCCGGGCGCGCACCCCCCCAGCCACGCCCCTCGACTACATTTCCCAGCAGGCCACGCGCTGCCCGCGCGCCGCAGTTGACCCATTTCCCGGCCCGTCACGGGCTTGGCCGGCCCCCGCGCCCAGGCTGCTGCTCCCTGCTGACTGGGGTGTGGGCGGGGAGCGGCGGAGGGAGGAGGAGGCACTGCTAGCCGCCGTTGCCTCCACTGCTGGGCTCCTGGATCGCTCGGCCGGGCTTCTGCGGCCACCATGGACGAGCAGGCTGGTCCCGGCGTCTTCTTCAGTAACAACCACCCGGGCGCCGGCGCTGCCAAGGGGCTCGGGCCTCTGGCGGAGGCTGCCGCGGCCGGCGACGGAGCTGCTGCGGCGGGGGCGGCCCGAGCCCAGTACAGCCTCCCGGGGATCCTGCACTTCCTGCAGCACGAGTGGGCCCGCTTCGAGGTGGAGAGAGCCCAGTGGGAGGTGGAGCGGGCGGAGCTGCAGGTAAGGACCCTCCCGGCCTGGCCCTCTTCATCCCGCCTCTTCACTCCTTGCCGCCCCGCCCCGGTCCCTCCGCTCGCGCCCATCCCGCCGAGATCGTGTCCCCCGCCTGTTCGCACCTTTGCCTTCCCCTGACCCCACTTCCTTGACCCGAGTTCCCACGCCCGCCGCCGGCGCGTTGTTTTCCCTCCCTACTCCTTTTCGCCTCTGAACTCAGTCTCATTTGAACTCTTACCAACCTACTCTTAGGCCATCCCTTTCAGTTTATCAAATCGAGCTGACAGTAGTTTTGAGAGACGTTGAGCAAATCATCTAGTGGGTCCCATGTCGGGTTTAGGAACATTCTCAGCCAAAGGTTATTGGCAGTTGGCTCCTCTGTCTGAAAGGAAGGTGATGGGGGGGGAAAAAAGTTAGGTCAAAAGAGGCCTTTAAGGAGAGAAGCTAACGCTAGGCTGAAGTGTTATTAGAAATATCAGCTCTTTTATTTTAATGTATGTAAATGCTTCTGTAACACCCCCACCGCCTTCCTCCGCGTTCCTTTTAGATATTTCAAATTCATGGATTTTGAAAGGAGTTAGACGATCACTGTCAGATAGATGATGGCTCCTGTTCTCTGAATATAAAACTTTTCAAGGGCTATTTTTGTGATCTGTAGACCTGTACTTTAAAAGGAACTAAAGGGGCATTGAAGTTACTCTGTTAGATGTCTTCCTATGCAGTCTGCAAGATAAAGTCTATCCAGGGAGGAGCTTTTGAGGCTTCTTAGAGGAATGAAAGTGAGGCTGATACTTTACAGGCCATTGTGAATCAGTAAGTAGGTTTTCAGGGACTGATCTTGAAATTTCCAAGACATGCACACATTTCACAAGTTGCATAAAGAACTCTGGATGGCAGTACCTTTCTACTTGAGGGCTATTCTTGAGTATTTATGGGCTATGAACCTAATTTTGATTGGGGAAACACTTGAAGTTAAAATGCACTCAGTGTGTCACATTTTTTTGGAACATACATTTTCTTTGGCACATAGAAAAGAAAAGAAAAGGAGAAATGTGTTAAATAGACTCAACGCTGCAATGGGCTCGGTTAGTGTAGTGGAAGTGACTCAGGAAAGAGCAGGCAGGATTATATAGTGCAGACTACTTGCTGTCTGACCTTGAGGAAATCCTTTAACCTTTTTAGCCTTCTTTTTCATAATTTATTCAGCATATATGTTTTGATTGAGCACCGCCCCTGCTTTGAACACAAACTACAAAGCCTGTGCCTTCATGGAGCTTACCTTTCAATCAGGAAGAAAAATGGTCTGGTGGCAGCTGTTGCTGTTGTTGTGTATTATCGAGTCACAACTGACCCATACTGACCCTCCAGTGGATTTTCAGAGGTGATCTCCTGGGAAGAGATTGTCCTTCTATGGAGCAGCTGGTGGATTCAAACCTCGTGCTTTCAGGATTGCAGTGCAGCTTCTTACCACTAGGCCAACAGAGCTCACTAGTGGCAACTGTTGTTGAGTACCATGGAGTCGGAACTGACCTATAGCTAATTCTCCAGAGAACGTGAATTGCACAGGAGAAGGAGATTGTCCATCTTTGTCCTACAGAGCAGCTGGTAGATTCGAACTTTGGGATTGCAGCAGTTTCTTACCACTAGGCCACCAACTAGTATGAGGAAAAATAATCTAGGTACAGAAATAGATTGTGATGACAGTAGCTGTTTTAAACTGGGAAATCAGGAAAGGCTTCTTGGAGGAGATGGCATCTGGACAGTTAGGTGAAATAAGAGTGACTCCATTTTACAGTTCCTCCTGATTTGATAGATTAGCCATCCAGTAGCTCTGGGGGAGAAAGCCCTAGTCATCTACTTCTGTATTCTGTAAAGATTTTGGGAGGGAGCTCTGGTGGCCTAGTGGCAAGAAGTTGCACTGCAATCAATTCCAGAGGTATGTGGTTCGAATCCACCAGGTGGTCTGCTGGAGAAGGAGGGACAATCTCCTCCTGTACCAGTCAGATCCAATTTGGCGGTACACACACATGCAAAATAATAATAGTAAAAAGAAAAATTTAAAAAAAGATTACGACCTAGAAGCCTTTGAGGCAGGCTTCCCTTGCCCCATGTCTACGCTGTGCTTGATAATCTATAACATAGTTATATATTTGTATTCTCAGGCAACTTTTTTCATCCGCGTATTTAGCCTTTTGGTATTTGACATTTTTCTCAGTAATGGATTAGACAATGTGAGTAATCAACAGATTTGAGTGCTTACACCATAACCTTTCTGGGTATTCCTATTAGCAAATAAACTTGTGGGTGTCAGACTTCAAGGAATTCTTATAGGCAGGATTTTACATTGATGTTGAAGAAAATAATTGTTGTAGGTAATTGCTTGCATTTTATTTTCCAGTTTAGAAAACATACTGTAAATTGGATTTATTTGGTTCAGAACTGAGAAAACTATATATCCTTTCCTACATGTAAAAGCTGTGGAACTTCCACTGCATCCTGCCATCTCTTCACACCTTTTTAACCTAATGTTAAATATTTCAGTTACCTGTTTTATAGTTAATCTTAAAACTGTATATAAGTTTAAATCCTCCTGGGTTAGTTATGTCAAATGTTAAACTTCAATCAAGTTTCCCTGTGATGCCCAATATACTAAGGGTAAAAATTTTACAGTATTTTTAGATTTATGCTCAGAGAACAGAAAACCCCTTAAATATCAAATTAAGCGTTTACTGAAGAAATTTTTTTTACCATATTTTTTTAAACAGAGTAAGTATATATTATGCATTTTTACGTTAGGAGGGTTGGCCGGAATCTGTGGTCTGAGTCCTCATTAATGTAATTGAAAATATTTCTTTTAAAATTATCAACATTCACTAAATTTGAACATTCCTCTTCATTTTTCTTTCACAAGTGAGATTTTCCTAGAAAAACAATAGGATGTAAAAAAGCTGAATGATTTACAGGCCACTTAGACACTTACAATCTTCCTTTTCATTTTTAAATCTCTCTGAGTCAACCAAAGTAACTTTGAGATTAAGTCTAATTTGTCCCTTTGGGAACCTGTCAGTCCTGCTCTTTTAGATCTCCAAGGCAGAGTTGTGACAGGCAATTCAAGTGCTCATTTATCTGGTCCAGCCAGCTATCACTACTTCCTTCCTCCTCCATCATATTTTGCCAAACACTTCTTTGTTATTCCTTTCTTGCCATCTTAGTTACTATTTTCTACTTTTGATTATTGTTTCTCCACCCATCTCTACCTTTATACGCACAGATGTAGATCATTCATAGGAAAAGAGTGAACGAGAGTATTGTTGTTTTTGTTATTGGCAGAACTGACCCAAAACCATGCCCAGTGGGTTTTCAGAAGCAGTAAACTGTATGGGAGGAGATTGTCTATTTTTCTCCTACGGAGAAACTGGTGGATTTGAACCATATGCCTTTAGGTTAACAGCACAGCTCCTTCTAGTAGGCCACCAGACCTCTTTGATCATGATCAAGAGTATTAGGTTAGAGAAATAAATTGACGATGATGTTGTTGTCAAATGCCATCGAGTATTGTACAACTCTTAGCTCTCCTGTGAATAACAGACTGAATCCTGTTCTTTTCTGTGTCATCCTCATCTCTGATACACTTGAGCCCATTGCTGCAGTCACCATGTCCTTCCATCTCATTGGAGGTCTTCCTCTCTTTCACTGACCCTCCGTCCTTTCAAGCATAAAACCCTTTCCAAGGAATAGTGTTTTCTAGCAACATGTCTGTCCAGAGTATAAGAGATGAAGTTTCACCATCCTTGCCTCCAAGGAACATTCTGGCTGCATTTCCCAAAACATATCTGTTCATTCTTTTGTGAATTCATCCTATATTAAATACTCTTGTCCAACACTACAACTCAAAGGCATCAGTTTTTCTTCTGTCATTCTCACTTACTGTCCAGTTTTCATATGTCTAATCAGATGTACATTAGTCTTCAAACTGACATAATTGCTTTTCAGTATTTCTGAGAATTCCCTGACAGTGGATTTGCCTAGTACAGTATGTCCATCCTGATCTAACAGCTGGTACCAAGGGTGTTGATTGTGGATCCAAGTAAGAAGAAATCATTGACAGTTTCAATCCATTCTCCATATTTAATCATGTTGCCTGTTGACCCAGTGAAAAGGTCCTTTGTTTTCTTGATGTTGAGATATAAACCATATTGAGATGACCTCAAATAAACAGTCTAGTTGAAGAAATAGAATGTAAGCAAGACATAGAAAAGTCAAAGTACTTAACATTTTGGTGCTTTCATTTTCTTAGATTAGGATTAGAGAGAAGAACACTGAATAACAGTGGTGAGAATTTAGCAGAAGTAAAGAACTTTATGAGGTAAATGGGAGACTAGTTCATATTTGAAAATTACTGACCTACCAGAAAACAAGCATTTGGGGATATGTTGTGTGTATGTCAGAGAGATGTATTTCTCTGGAATTTCTAGAGGTATATGGAAAAAGTGATATGATTGAATAGCATATGTGTGCGATGCAGAGGTTATATGCTGAATGATTCTGGATTTGGACATTATCAGTTCCTGTTTTCTTTGATTAAAAAGTGTTTTTTGAAATTATTTTTTCTGTGCCAGGTTATGATTTAGGCATTAGAGACACAACAATAAATAAAGTAAGTCCTACCCCCTGGTAGCTTAAATCATAGCGGAAGACAGTGATAAATGTCAAGGGTTAGATGGTCATAAATGCCATGATAAAGTCATGGTAAAGGAGATAGTACGTTCCTGAGATGGTGCCAAAGAAAGGCTTGCTAATAGTTGTATTTGATCAAAGAATTGATACCTGAAGGAATAGCATCCAGGGAAGCATGCTTGGAATGTTTGAGGAATAACAGCCAGGGCAAATGTAGTTAGAGGAAAGTCGGCAGTAGATGAATGATACCAAAGAGATAAGTAGGTCCTGGACTTTTAAGTAAAAGGAGCCCTGGTGGCGTAGTTAATTGTGTGCTGAACGGCTTAATA